CCATTCCGCAAAAAAAGGAAAAAAAGAAATGTTAAGTTTAGTGATCAATTCTATTCCTCATGCTAGTGCCTAATCTCTGGAGTCCCTGTATCTTGCACATGTTAATGAGACTCCAACATTACAAAAGCTTATCCTGTAATCTTAAAATAAGGGTTTATCACCATTGCACCTGCTGTACCTCGCTGGATTTTTGTGAGGAACAAATGGTGTTGCAAAAGTACTTTGTGGAGGGCTGGCCAAATAGCTCCGTAGATTAAAGCTCCTGCAAGCGGGTGCAGGGGCCTGGGTTGATCCGCCCCCGGGGTGCACTGAGAGGGCAATCGAGACTGGGTGTGGTGGTGAGTGCCTGTAAACCCAGCTCTTGGCTGTAAACAGGCAGATCACTATGAGTCTGATCTACTAGTGAGACTGACCCTGAACACCCTGTAGACCCTTCCCTAAAATTAAAAAAAAAGGTACTTTGTGGACCAACAGTAGAGTTCTAAATAAATATTCACAATAACTGTTACTTTTAAAAATACTTTCTGATTTCATTACTATTGTGCAAAGCAAAATTTGGAGAGTACATTTAGAAACAGAGACTAATGTGCCAAAAAGAGAAAAAATTAGATTGAAATTAAAATTTCATGGTCTACAAAGCTCTCATTCTAATTCTGGAAATGAAAAATAAAGGCCAGAGAGACAGGCTGGAAGAAAAGATGGTAGAAAGAGGAGAGACTGCTGTCATGGGAATATACTTATTGCTTTCCAATGAGGTGTACAAGCGAAGTGTGGGTTTGAGAATGGACATTGTGTATAAAAAATCCTTATGTTAAGTGCCTTAAATATTTACAGCAAAACTAAGTCCAGAAAGGATGTGGATCATCTCTGTGGAATTTTAGAAAAAGTTAATTTGTGGTGAATGGTCCATAGTTGGATAATTCCCATTGGTGAAAGGTAGCGCTAATCGGAAGATATTTTTAAAAAGGGCAAATCTCTCACTATTACCACTTATCACAGAATACAGTACACCATCCAAAAGATGATATGTCTTAGATATTTTTGCATCATATATTGACAAACTATTGCTTTCTTTATTATGGAGTATTAGCTTTTGCTTGTAGAGTTATCTAGATAAATAGATTATCTAGATATATATTCCTTTAATTTGCAGCATATAATTCTGGTTCTTTTTAATGTTATTGTCAAAATACAAGGCAGGCTGAATTTTAATGGATGGTGGAGGAAGCACTTCTGAGCTTCTCGAATAACTGGCTATGTGAGTTTACCATATAATGCATATTATATTTCATTATAGACATGCTAAGCCCTTTGGACCTCAGTTTCTTCATCTGTCAGTGAACATATTAGACTAATGACTGAAGGACACTTTCAATTCAAAAATTCTGTTATTCTCTGAAAGCATTTTCTGCTTTTTCTTTGTACAGGCTGAAACTGTGTAATGTTTTTATTATTCGTGCCTTTAAAAATTAGCTCCCTCCCCATGATCTAAAGATGAATGAACATGATAGCAAGAAGTGTGCATAAAGTTGACGATGTAAATGTAGTAGACGACCTGGTAAGTGCTGCACTTGACAAAGATTTGAGATAGGCCTTGATATCTTTGGGTTTTTTTCTTGGTATCTTTATATTTATTGATGTCTAAGTCACATATTTTGGAATCTTCTACTCTCCCATCAGGTTAAAGAAAACATTCTGCTTTTTCTTATTACTTTTTCCCATCCTCTGACACAAGCTACTTTCTTTACATTAGAATTTGATTTCCTTAGCATTGTTTCCAAAGGAATACTTGTCAAGTTCTAGCAGTACTTTCTTGGACGTCAGTTTGTCACAAGGGGGTGAGGAAGAAAAGCTATGAGCTCTGTGCAGGACCTTGTTGTACAGTGAAGCTTTCCTAAGTACTTGGTGCATAGCCAACATCAGAGAGCTTTATCGTTGACAGCGTTGACAAGATACACTGATATATTGCCTTGTTTTTTTGCCCGGTTTACTTGGTTTCATATACTTAAGAGCAGTGTAGAAGCAGCTAAACACTCAGGATGAGTAGGCTTCACACATGTTCAGTCCTTCCCCATATTGACTTGAACCACATGCTTTCAAATTATTCTTTGGGGGAATTCTTAGTCAAGCTGAGAAGCAGCAGCTCATTTTCTAGCATGCACTTAGTTCCTTTGGACAAACTCCTTTAAATTTATCAACTTCATCTATGGCTGTCTTTGGGGGCTGATAATTAAGTAATAATATTTTAATTATAA